AGGTCCCTTTTCCACGCTTTTAGGCGTATTATAAAAATATGGCTAGACCTATATTTGTTATAGACCAATCGGCACTTTGTGGGTGATGTGGTCAGAATTACGCCTCTACTTCCCAGGACTGCACCAAGGCTAGGTCGATCTGGGAGTCAAGGTCATCTTTGAAAAAAAAAAAAAAAAAAAAATCATGCTCCGTCAGGACGCGAACCCACAACTCTCCGATACACAGCGGGCGTTTAGCAGCCAACGCCACGGCGACTACAGACAAGTTTCAAATAATTCTTAATCTTAACCCAAAGAAATAGTGAAAATCACAACACATCGAAATGTATACAGATAAAACTACTGTGGAGAAAGGATATATGTTAATGAGGAAAGATTGGAGGTTGTGGAAAATTTTGAATAGCTTGGGTCATTGATTACCAACAATAGTGACACAATAAAATAAATTAAGCGAAGACTATTAATTGCTCTTTAAAGACTAAAAGAACTGAATAAATTTTGAAGTGAGACAGCCAGAACTAGAAAAGTTAGATTGTTTTCGCTTTTCCATTAACGCCTGTGAGACCTGGACACTTACTAAACAAGCTGAACAGTGCAAAGGTGACATAGAAAACAAATGTTATAAATGGGTTCTAAGAATATCGTTGGTAAAGAAAGGAACAAATGCATCCATGCTTCAAGAACTGAATATTGAAAAAAGTTGGCTGTTAAAGACGATAAAACGTAGAAAATTGAAATATTTCGGTCACTTGAAACGTCACGAAAGATTTGAGAGAACAGTAATGCAGGGGTATTTGCCTGGGAAGAGAGGAAAAGAAAGGCTAAAGAGAAGATGGGTGCAGGATGTGGCGTGTAACGGACGCGGGACATCTTTCTTGCGATCGAGACGTTTTCCGGAAGATTGTTATTGGAGCAAAGTTCTGCAAAGGACATGCTACTGGCTATCAAATGTAAGCTAGTTATTTAAATACATTTAAAATGTTTTTTTTTTTTTTTTTTAACTTTTAATAAAAAATTCAACATGTAGTACCATTGGGTGTGTTTTGGAAACTTCTGAAAACAAAACAATTTATTACTTTTGTCGAAAACAATTTCGTCAGTCCCTAATGGAAGCGTGTCACTTGTGGGACTGGACAGACATCGTGTGAAGGGCGGAGTAATTTAGAGATGTTCTTTGGCCTAGAACTTGAACCGACCCATAATGGTTTTCGTTGGGGGTAGCAAAGACGTTTACGAAATTAGAAAAGGATAGTGTATTGCCTGTCAGGAACGGTGGAGGGGAGGGCTCGAAAAATACGAGACTGTCAGCAAAGCACAAAACAAACGAGTATCACAGAGTACACGAAAACCGTGTGAACTATGTGGGGTTAAGGAAACAGCTCATTTATGAGAACGCTGTGGCTGCGTGGTCTCGAGGAATGGTGTCCACCTTGAGTGCTAGAAGTTTCGGGTTCAATTACCGGTAAGGGCGGTGATTTTTCTCACGTAGACTTTGACTTCTATTAATTCCACCTGGCCTCTGCGTAGTGAGATCAAACTCTCGTGTGCATCGTTGCACATGTAAAAAAAAATATCTTATCGTAGTTGAAAATCGAAGAGAGTAGCCTAACAGCGCTGCCAGGGCAAAATTTGGAGTTACAAATTTACCTTAAGTATTTCAGGATCCTCGCCGATGCTACAGAGCCTGTGCACTGTGCTGAGCTTCTTCGGACTTGGACTTGAGTTAGAAGAAAAACGGAGCACTTATGTGTGCCACGATGTTGATGCGGTGTTCAAAACCTCAAACCTATGAGAAAGCTGAGTAAACTAAGTCCTCAGTCAAAAGTCACTGTAAACTACTTAGACCAGGCATGTCAAACATGCAACCCGCTGGCCACATGCAGCCTTTTCTAAGCGACATGATAACCTAAATACGATCCTTATGACTTTTAATTGACCCAAATTTGACACGCTGGTGTAGACCATACCTTCTGAACTGTGTGTCGCGACACTTTAGTAGGCTGCAATGTGAAGATAGACTATGTGAACGTAAATCGTTATTAAACAAATTATTTGACACGTAACGGTGCAGTTATTGGTGTTATTTAATTTGGTTTATTATTGTTCCGCGTACACTATAACAGTGATAGTAATCTTTAATATATATACATAACTTGTTATTTTATTTTTATTAATATATATATATATATATATATATAAATAAATAAAATAACAAGTTTTCATGAGATAGTTTGTGTTGTGGCACATTTCATTATCACAATTTCCCCGTGTGGGTTCTGGGACCCTATTATAGGGAAAACAAGAATAGACCCACTGCCTACCCAAAAGTATGTCGTAAAAGTCGAACTATGTGGAGCTTTCTTGAATTCGGATTGCATCTGCCTGAGAGGCAAGGAACCAACAGTCTGCACACAAATGAGTCTAATCTGTCAAACGGATGCACACGCAACTCAGGTTCTTTAACAGGACTGCAGTCCAAAAGTGGACGAACAATCAGAAGTCTCCGCCGTAGTTTACAGCTGGTGAACTCGAAGAAGAAGATTATCACAATTATTTATGTGGCCACGTTTTTTTAATAAGGGGTTAGTTTTAACCCCTGTCTGGTAGCAGACTGAATTACTGTATCGCTAAAGTATGTTTATCTGAAAAAAAAAAAAAAAAAAAAAAAAAATTCAAAATTCTGAATGTTCTGGTCTAAAAAACTAGAATTATAACGATACCACGCAAACTTGCATAATGAGGATTCCAAAGCACGACTTTAGCGCCAGCAAATAAGCTTCTAACACTGCTTTCCTTTAGCTCTATTACATTATCGTACTTTTTGTTAAATTTACATCAATCTTCTCGCTTGTATTACAGCCGGCGAACGCGAATAAACAGATATAATAATATCTAACTAGAGGGAGTGCATGTTGGTGCCATGATAGCGGCGTCGTTGTTGGCACCTGTCTGACTTTCCAGGGTACAGTGTTATATTCTGCCATAGGAAGTCACTGTAATCCTCCTAACCCATGACGACCTCAAGCCGGCTCGCGACTACAAAAGTTCTCCACAATCACAGCATGGGACTTACCTTTTGGGTTCCGAGCTGTATTTTGGAGAACAGAGAATAGACCCCTGTTCCTAAACAAACATGTCGTAACAGGCAACTGATCAGTGGTGTTTTCTTCAAAGTCGGAGTGCATTTGCCTGAGAGGCAAGGAACTAGCATTCTGCATGAAACCCAGCCAGATTTGTAAAATAAATGTGCATGTAAAACTAAAGTTCTGGATCAAGGAGTGGGTGAACAACCAGAACTGTTGGCACATGTTTACAGCCGGTGAGCACAAAGAAGAGAAGGCGCAAGCATGGGATCTAGTGACCAGCGTTGACATCCCTTGTGTTCAACGATCTTCTTCTGAAACTCTAGGCTATTAGCGAGACCACTTAGGACAGGGATTGATGTGTGAACAACGGACTAACATCATGGCACACGAGTAGTAACCCATAAATGCTCCGTTCTTTTTCAAACTCAGGTCTCAGTCTGAAGAAGCTCAGCACAGGGCACAGGCTTTGAAGCACCAGCTAGGGTCCCGAAATACTATGGGTAGACTTTTAACTCCAAATTTTTGCTTGGGCAGCAACGTTAGGCTAATATTTTCGATTACCAACTGCCAAAGGATTTTGTTACGTGCTCAACAATGCACATGGGAGTCTAGTCTCATTACCCAGAGAGCAGTGGAAAATACTAGAAGTCCAAGTCCACGTGAAAAAATCCCTGCCCTTACCTGGGGGTTAATCCCGTAACCTCCAGCACTCGAGGCGGACACCATGCCTCGAGACGACGCAGCACCCAGGGATGAAATTCTCCACCTCTATAGCACACATCCTTGTCAGTATTTTAGAGACCATCTGTTATCCTTGCCGTATTATCTAAAATTATGCCTCATACAAACATATAAATCCTTTAATCCAGCGAAGACCTTCCAGGGACATCAAATACATCTGCACTCGCGAGGAAAGGAGTACAAAACGGAACCAATGAAAAGCCGAAGGCGAGGCAAACAACTTAATGACTCAACCACAAATAAATAAAGACAACAACTTCTTGCGTATATTGTCTCTTTGGACTTGCGTGTTAGTCTGCCGTATCTGCAATATTCACAGAAACCCACCTGCACTGTTGTAGCAAATTCTCTATACATAATTGCTAGAATACCCAACACGCGACACAGCGTGCAATGAGATTCTGTGTCAGGAAGTCGAGTTTCGAAGTGGTGTGTTATCATCTTGGGTGCAGTGCGCATCGAATCGGATTATTTTTATTATTTACCCTGGCCCTATGCTCGACCCAAAGTAAAATGAGTAGCTTGCAATATGCTGGGAAGTAAAAGCGACTGACCTGATCTACCAACTGCCCAGTAATCTATACTAGTATGAGTCAAGACTCAAATGCACAATGCGTCACTGGCGTCAAAATGGTCCACATGGTGTTATAACTGCATTTACTTAATACTTCTTGTTTTTTTTTCTTGTTCTTGTTCTTCTTGTTCTTGTTCTTCTTCTTGTTCTTCTTGTTCTTCTTGTTCTTGTTGTTGTTCTTGTTGTTCTTGTTCTTGTTCTTGTTCTTGTTCTTCTTGTTCTTGTTCTTCTTGTTCTTGTTCTTCTTCTTCTTCTTCTTCTTCTTCTTCTTCTTCTTCTTCTTCTTCTTCTTCTTCTTCTTCTTCTTCTTCTTCTTCTTCTCATTTTTCGCGTTTACACGCTGTAAACTCCGGCGCAACGTTCTGGTTGTTCGTCCACTCCTAGACTCTCGTGCTGTTCCAGAAACTGAGTGTTGCTTATACATTCGTTTCACAGGTATGACTTATTTGCAGACTGTTGATTCCATACCTCTCAAGCAAATGTACTCCGACTCCGAATGAAGCTCCCAATTAGTCGAATCTTACGACATGCTTTTGGGCAGGCAGTGGGTTTATTCTTGTTTTCTCCACAACCCTGGACCCGAAACTCACAACTCGGTCTCAAAACCCACAACCCTGGTCCCGAAACCCACAACCCTGGTCTCGAAACCCACATACCCGGTCCCGAAACCCACAACCCCGGTCCCGAAACCCACAACTCTGGTCCCGAAACCCACAACCCTTGTCCTGAAACCCACAACCCTGATCCCGAAACCCACAACCCTGGTCCCGAAACCCACAATCCTGGTCCCGAAACCCACAACCCTCGTCCTGAAACCCACAACCCTGGTCCCGAAACCCACAACCCTGGTCCCGAAACCCACACAAGGACA